GTAGGCATCCAGGTAGGGCTTGACCAGTAGCCTTGACCTTCCAAGCCTGACCATGCAACCAGGCTTTTTATTCATCTGATTGTCCATCATCCAGACTATAATGTCACAGCCTGAGTACAAGAATACTATTGGAAACTGTGTCAGAAACGTTGCTAAAATCAGTACAAGTGATGCCACAATCCCAAACCTTTCCCCTTCACTCATGAGTACCTGGTACTGTTAGGATAACGGCTTGCTCTCTGTCAACCCATAAATGTGTTAATACTTGCTGCTTATTTAAACTCAATAGTTCCAAACTCCAGGACAGAATTTAGATATACAACTCCCATTATGTTCACTAGGCTTTGTATGGTTAAATTTTGGCAGTTGAAAAATGCTTCCACGTATCCAGAGCAGAATACATGGACACAAGGATGAAGACATCTGAGAATGCCATTGCTTGTAGTTACTCTGCAAGTCCCCTGGGACAGATATTTCTCAGTGGTCTTCAAACCCAAGCAAACTTTTCATGCACTGTAAAAATAAATCTCCCTCTGTAAAGAACTGCTGAGCAGGGCCCTGGAAAACTCTGGTCCCAGCATCTCTCTGATCCTTACAAGTGCTACTGAGCCAACTCATTTCTGTAGTGGTTGTCTCTTAAAAAGGTCCAGTAACATTTTCTCTTTGAGGTTGCATGCTACCTACTGCTTTTCACATCCCATTCGTACAACTAAAGAAGAGCACTTACTGCTTAACTTCCAGACAAAAAGAGGAGATGGAAAAGTGCTGAACTCTGGTTGTTTTTGTTCTCCTGTTGTCCAAGCTCTGTCTCTCTCTCTGCCCTTTCTACTTCTGCCCTTGATCACATGCTCACAGACCTTGCAAAGCTGTTGAGTTTATCTGCCATCCAGCATGTTACCTTGGGAGCAATCATCCCACTACAACCCTACAAATATGTTTTTTGCTGGGCTTATAGTTCAGTACTCCAGGAAGACCAGAAGTCTCAATCTGTGCTTACTGAAGGCAAAATTGTACTAAAGCAGCACAAAAGCTCTAGGGGCTTTTGCTTATGGGAGCAATTGGCTGTACTAAATCTTCCACAAAGCTTCTATTCCTTAGGGCCCAGCCTAACAACTCTTAAGCTGGATCTAGAGGAAAACTTCCCTCTGTTGAGGTTTAGGAGCCCAGGTCAGGGCCCGGACACTCCATTGTCAGCCTCCCACAGTGTCATGAACGTCAGTGTGGTAATCCCACACTGCTTTTCCTGAAATCAGAGTAAATCGGTGTCTCCGTGTAGCTCCATTCTCCGAGGAGGTATTCTTCCTTGTGGTAGGTGTACGGGAATTCAGAAAGTTCAGGCTGAGTTCACAGGGTTCAATTTTAAATACAATTTTATTTAAATGTAATCCTGTGGGCTAGCAACTGTCACAAATCGCTGTGATGAGGCTGGGAGACATAATTCACAGTTTATAGATGGAAGGCTGAGGGACAGAGAACTGAAGGGTATGCTCAGATACACTCTTTCAGCTGAGCCTTAACAGCTTAAGCGGTTACGACCCCTTGGCTGCTGGTTGCTGCTTTAATTCACACTGAAAGCCTGGATGTACCTCACCAATACTTCACAGCATCACAGCCAGAGGGGTGGGGGGCAGTTAACAGCTGAGAAACGATAACTGGAAATTAAGGGGCTAAAACTCCTTAAAATCAGTCGCAAGCATGTCTGGAAAAGGGCGCATGGATAAACTTGCCTACTTTCATTGCTTACATGCTAAGCAAACAGCTTAGTTCAGTTTCTCAGTGCTTCCTTGTGGGCTGGTGGGAACGTTTCAGGCATTGGAGAGTGAACTCCAAAATAAGCACTAGCAAATGTTGCCCTTACAATCACGAAATAGTAAATTGTGAGGCAGGGAGGAAGTAACAAACTAAGGCACCTCAGGCACTCCTCATATGTCTTCCCCTCCAGAACTCTCACCATCTCTGTAGTCCTCCTTTGGACACTCTCTAATGGCTTTATGTCCTTTTTGTACTGTGGTGCTCAAAACTGCACATAGTACTGGAGGTGAGGCTGTTCCAGCGCAGTGCAGAGTGGACAGTCCCTTCCCTCGCCCGGTTGGCAGTGCTGTGCTCAATGCCCCCCACAATACGGCTGGCCACCTGGATGCCTGGGCACAGTATTTAATGGAAAGCCAAAGAGATCTTCAGAGCCTGATCCATCTAGCCTGGAGGTTACATTCAATTCCTCAAATACACGATTGACTCCCACTCTTGAAGATACTACGGAGATGCTGAGGACAACCACCTGCAAATGTTGTGTGCAAGCACACATAGTTGTCCAGGCTCATCTTACTACACATGAGAAAGAGCCATTTTCCAGTGGATGATTCTTCCTGGAATACAGTCACCTTTTCAGGATGCTCCCTATTAATAATGGAGAAACTGTGTTGAGATTTAACTTGCAGGCGTTTAAAATGAAGTGAAATGAGTCCTTAGTGGCTTACTTCATAGAATAGAATAGAATGGTTTGGGTTGGAAGGGACATTTAAGATCATCTAGTTCCAATCCGCTGCTATAGGCAGGAACACCTCCCTCTAGACCAGGTTGCTCAAAGCTTCCAGGGAGGGAGCACGCACAGCTGCTCTGGGCAACCTGTTCCAGTGTCTCACCACCCTCAAAGTAAAGAACTTCTTCCTAATATCTAGTATATATCTACCCTCTTCCACTTTAAAAGCATTTCCCCTCATATTGTCACTACATGCCCTTCTAACAAGTCTCTCCCCAGCTTCCCTGTTGGCCTCCCTCAGCAGGCCCTTTCAAAGATCACTGCTTTATCACTAGCTACCAATCTCAGTACTTTCTGCTCAGCTTCTCTGATGTTGGATTGGCTAAGATTAGAAAGATCATCAGCTATCACGAAATCAAATGTGACAGTTTATGAAGAATGCCTAGTAAGGTCAACTGCACAGGGACTTCAAGAGTGAGACTCATGGAAGTGGTTGGTGGTTCCATTCACACCAGGACCAGCTCCACATTACCAGCAGGGTTGGGGAAACCTTAGATTTTGGCTGTCTTCATAAATGTAGGTGCCTATTCTAAATCAGTTTGCTTGGCTAGCTTGAAGTCAAGGAAGGATGAGGCTGTACCAAGTTAGCATCTTTGGAAAAAGAACCAAGCCCTCAGTCAGAGTGAAAAAGCAAAGGATGAACACAATGAATGCTCATTCAGTGAACATACACCCAAACAAGAAGCTGGATTTTAATGTATACCTTTTCAATTTTCAATTAGCTCTCCTTTTTAGAAAATTGCTAAATCTCACAGAGGCATGGCTTAGCTGGGATAACATCGCTTGCTTTGCAACCAAATACATTTTGAAAAGGGAGCTTTGGAAAAAGTATGGCCATTTGTGACATGACAGACCCCAGAAGATTTGAGTTGGGCACAGAGATACTAGAGAGCTAAGCTTTGACACTTGAGCTATGACATTTTTCAGTCTTTGCATTACTTTGCAAACTGTCTGTATTAAACTTAGCAGTGTAAATGCCATTTCACATTTAGATAGAAGCTGCCTTATATGCTTTGTCCTTAGCACTGGTCATTCTGTTTCAGCAGAAGACTGCTGGCAGGTGATGGGTTTGAAACAGTATAAACCTTAAGGCTTTCCATGCTTGGTTCTCATTAATACCAATCGAGTACTGTGTCCAGTTTTGGGCCCCTCACTGCAAGAAAGATATTGAGGCCCTGGAACGTGTTCAAAGGAGGGCAACAAAGCTGGTGAGGGGTCTGGAACACAGGCCGTATGAGGAGAGGCTGAAGGAACTGGGAATGTTCAGCCTGGAGAAGAGGAGGCTCAGGGGAGACCTCATTGCTCTCTGTAACTGCCTGAAGGGAGGTTGTAGTGAGCTGGGGGTCGGCCTCTTCTCTCGTGTCATTAGTGATAGGACCAGGGGGAATGGTTTCAAGCTACGGCAGGGGAGATTCAGGCTGGACATGAGGAAGTATTACTTTTCAGAAAGGGTGGTCAGGCACTGGAATGGACTGCCCAGGGAGGTGGTGGAATCACCGAGCCTGGGGGTGTTCAAGGAAAGGCTGGATGTTGTGTTGAGGGACATGGTTTAGTAGGAGCTGTTGGTAATAGGTGAACGGTTGGACTGGATGATCTTTTAGGTCTTTTCCAACCTTGGTGATTCTATGATTCTATGATTCTAATAAGCCAACCTAATTGAAAAAAAACCAACAAAACAACCCAAAAACCCCAAACAAAAACGACAACCAAAAAAAACCCCAGCCAAACAAAGCACAAAAAACCCCCTCTACATTTGTGTTGTCCCTTGTTCTCTGGATTTTGCAAAAGAAATGGCAGTAAGTCTAAGAGCCCTGCAGCCTCATGTCAATACTGTGAAACCAGATACAATTAGTGAAACCAGAATTACATAATGACTGAGGAACTGCTTTTACTTTGAGTCTGAATATTCTCTACAAAACAAAAACACCACCACACACACACACACACACACAAAAAAAAAAAAAAAAAAAAAAAAGACACAAAAAACCCAAACCAACCCAAAACCAATAACAGGAAAAACAAACAAACAAACAACTAAAAATTAGAAATAAAAACAACAAAACCAACAAGAAAAAAACACACAATCACCCACAAAAAGCACTCGTGAAAATCAAAATGGCCAAAGTGCTTCGGCCACCAACTACACGTACACACAGATGGGTTTTCACCAGACTGACTGTAAAGTCCTCAAGGATTAAAGTAACTGCATCACTGATTCTGTCTTATCACATTTTTAGATTTGTACCTATTTCAGGACTCATTTTTTTCCTTCACCTCAGTCCGAGAAATACTGATGAGCTTACAGAGACCAGGGGAATTTGTACTCTGATGGAACTGCATTTCTCTTCGTATTTCTCTGTGAAATTAATAAATAATCAACAAATGAGTAAAAAAGTATTTATTTCTTTTTTTTTTTTTTTTTGCACATGAATGATAAGTAAAATCAGAAATAAAAAATAGAAATAAAAAATAGAACAAGTTTTCTGAAACATATAGCCTTATTTTTACATCAAGTACTTTTTTGAATACAAGTTAGAAAAACATAAATTTCATCTTGGACCCATTTAATATTCATGCATTACTGCCTAGGAAACTAAAATACATTTTCTTTTTTCCTTGAAAAGGGACAGTGAACACTTCTGAACTAGACAAGTGTGAAAATAACAAAGAATTCAGTGCAAATTTCTCAAATGAACATTCAGATTATATTTCCTTTCATACTTGATTTCTAAACAGTTCACAGTTCAGTTCTCTCCCATTTTGAAACAAACATAATCATAAATGCAAGGGAAAATTGAATACACCAATGCCTCTTCATCTTTTAGATTTCAGGAATGTCCTAATAAACTCTTCTGGATGTTCTTGTTTGACCTGAAGTCGGGTAAATTTTGTGGAAGCAAAGCATCTCTTGATTTCTGATCTAGAATGCCTCAAACACATTCAAGATTTGCAGAACATTTTGGTCGCTTGCTGTAGGTATCACAGTGAACTGGGTTCACAGTTAAAATATATAGACATGATGTTTAAAATCGTGTCCCTCATTACTTTTAACAGTTCTGTAACAAAAAAAAAACAAAACAAAACAAAACAAAAAAAAAAAACAAAAAAAAAAACAAAGGCAGTTTGATAAAGTTATTTAAGTTAAAAATGTCAGCCTGCATGTGGCCTATCATTACGGATCTCATTAGCATCCATTTCCTCCTTGTTTTATGTGAACTCTGGTTGATGTTTCGGTTGAAGTTCACCCCATGGAAAATATCTTGTACACATCCACAACAATAATATAATGAAGTGTCTCTTATTTTTTGTTTTTACCTAAAGGACTACATAGGTTTCAGCTTTGTTCTCAACATTAAAAAAAGTACATGTTGATTTAATCATGTTTAGGTTTCATTCTGCCAGGAAGAAAAAAATAGAACTACAGCTCCTCCATTAGCCCCTCGGAACACACCCCCTAGCCCAACCTTAGCACCTCAAGAATCAGCCTGCTCACACAGACAGACCTAGGTAACCTATTCTGGATACCAGAACACGGTTGGTTGGACAAAATCATTCAGATTAAGTTCAGTGAAATAACTCTTATCAAAAAAAAGTTGAAACGTCCTTAAAATATAAAAAATCAACATTTTTCATTTTTTGATGATTTTAAATCTGAACAATTGGACTTTTAGTCTAAAAGTATTTTGTTGAATGTGACTAAAATTTGAAATATAAATGTGGAAATTGCACAAAGCATTTTGCTACGCAGCTTCTAAATCTTGAAATTATGGCCACTAAAATCATTTGCTCTGTTAAAAACAACCAGAAAATAGAAAGTTCATACAAAATCAAGTAATTATATAGGAATTGCTCAAGGATGCTGTTGGTCTGATCTTGCAAAATACATAGGCAAGTGCTTAACTTTAAGCATGTGAGTCACCGTGCCAAGAGAGGTTTTATGGCAAACACTAATGCACAAATATTAGTTAGACCAGCTCTTCCACTTCAAGATAAGCATAGACATAAGTGCTTTGCTGGATATGGATCAGGATGCTCAGCACCTAACAGGACTTTAGGCCCTGGTCCAGCAAAGCACTTATCCACACGAACAACACTGCTGACTTGAAGATCACTGCTCATGTGCTTAACATTAGGCATGCTTGTAAGTGCTTTCCTGGAAGGGCCCGATAGACCAATAGTGGATAAGCTATAAAATCTGAAGCACTGTATGTTTAACACACCGCATATTTAACAATGTTAATCTGCTGAGATTTGCTTTTTCTTGGAACAGGGCACATCTAACTTCAAGCATTTATTTTCAGAAAGTGCACTAAAAAAGCCTTTAAAAGCTGGTTTGAGATTATGGCAAGTTAAAATAATATTAGCAAGTCTCCTTACGCTTCTTTCATTTCTTCTTTGGATGTTTTTGTGCAGGCATCTAAAAAGAAAAGAAAAAATCCTAGGCATAAGAATTAATCTATTCAAATAAGCATCCATGCATTTACTTTGTCTCTAAAAGCCACGAAGTCAGATGCAATTAATACTTGAAAGAATCGCTAACTCTTTTAAATTTCAGATGTGAATGCAAATACTACCATCATTTTGTGCCATCATTTTCACTGAAAAATACCAAATCATCAATTGTCACTCCTACAAATAGAAATGATTTTATTACTTCAGACTGAAAATGATGTGCAAGTCCCACCCTGATATATCCCCAAGTCAGTGCTTTATTTCCATATGAAGTTTTCCATGCTCACTGATGTCAGTCTGTTTGCAATGCGAAGTCTTAAGAGAGTGGGACTACAAGAGCAGCTTAATCCAAAACCAACTACAATAAAAGGATCACAACTCATCAGATATTTACATGAGTGTGTAGAAACAGCATGCTAATTCTGAAAGAGCAATAAAGTTAGACCACATTTCTGAATGGTGCTGGCATATTGTCCCAAACTAAGCTAAGAAGCAAGAAACAGCAAAGCAGCACTTCATGATGACCGAGTGCTACTGCTGGCCAGTCACAGTAACTATATTTAAATCCTCATTGTGGTAGGAAATATTGTTTTATGTATTTGGCACCACGTGTTCTTCATAACTTCTTACAGCTACACGTTAAGAAGGTTTCAAAGTTACTAAATGTATTACATTCTTTCCTAACAGGAAAAGAGTTTTGTTTTCACATGAAAGCTGTAATGGCTCTTGGAAATGGCTCATGTTCCTCTGTCATGCACAAATTTCTGCTCAAAGGCACAGTAACTAATCAAACGTCAGTTGCTCTAAGTTACAGTATAGCAGTCAGCTGAAGTTGAGATGTGACAAACTAAAGCACAGCACATGCACATACAGAAGACTATTTCTTACATGCAGAGATTGATGTGAAAGCTATGTTTAGAGAAAGAAAAAAAGAAAAGCTCAGATCAGAAGTCCACAAAAGTCTTCCACCTGTATCAGGACTGCCCTTCTGTCCTAAAGTCTGACAGAGAAATAGGATTCTTTTCTTAGAAGAAATGTTCTCAAATTGTTCAGTCAATGAACAGGTTGATGCATTTCCAAAACTATTAAAAAAAATACCAAAAGTAGCAGATTTATATATTTAGAATAAAAAATATTATCTATCTGTCCCACTTCACGGCTTGTTTCTTCTGTAAATCTCTCCCATTCGTGTTTTTCCGCTGAAATTCCCATCCCATGCTTGCTTCCTTTCTCAAAATTTTCCAATGCTCAGAATGGGCCCTCTCTTTAGAGATGCAGTTTCTTTCCTCTCATTTTCCAAAACATAATCCTTAAGATGTTGCTTACTGCAGAAAGCTTCACCATTAACATGACAATAAGTGCCCATTTGTTCTATTTTCATTACACTATCCTGCACTTTCATTAGTGTTCTTCAAAAGGCTTCATCAGTGGTGCATCCTTTTTTCTACTGATACCAATTTGGAAGGCATCTTTTATTCTCAAAATAAACCACTGGGCTAAGTTGAATGCTTTTCAAAACCCAACCCTTCCAAGTTCACAACTGCAGTTGCTCATTCTGGGCTCATTGAGTGCTTTTCTTTCCAACTCATAGTAAGAAAAACCTCTGGATAAACAAACACGTCTGCTACAGGGTTTGTTTTCACTTCTAGTGCAGACAAGTAAGGTAGAAAAAAAAAAGGCAAGATGGAAATTCACGAAGTAGTGCACATCAAAAATTATCACAATGGCACTTACTATTATTTTTTAAGCTTATCTAATAGTTAATGTCAAAACAGGCAGCTCTACTGACAAAGCTGCTGATACTTTGCTAAAGACACCTGAAGAGCAAGGCAGTGTGGTATAATAGGAATTTCTCTAAGCTTAAAAATCAATGAAGTGTCTGCATCTGAATCACACATTACTGTTTGGATGTATACTGAGAAATACTACAAACTGTCTTCCAGAAATAAGGAAGACATAGAAATGATTCTTCAGAATGCCTGAAAACCGTTTATTTATTCTAAAGAATGTCATTCTTGGCCTAGATGATTCAGTTTGGACAAAGTGGGAGAATTAACTCTACATTTGTTCCTTGTTCCAGCTTCATTGAGAAGGCTCAATGGTGAAATAAGTATCTTTGCAATCAGAGATAATTCCATGTATTTGCCTATTTACAAGCACAGCTTTGAAAAAACACTGTTTTGAAAGGCCTACAGATGCCAACAGCAACTACAAAACAGCATACAACGCACAGCACAGTTTTACATTCACTTCTGTTTGGAAAAGAACACCGCAGAGCTCTTAAACCTAACAGATACCTCTGTAGCACAAGGGCTGTAAAAGGCAAGTAGGTCTGAAATGGGAAAATGGCAGTCACATTTTCTCTAAAAATCCCTATTATCAAGGGATTTAAGTAGATTCTCTACTGAGCTCAAGTAGCAAAGAATGATGTTAAGATCGTCCGTCTCTTTAAAGCATTGCAGCTCAACCACAGTAATGGTGCAGCCCATGAAATGCTTAATGCTTGGTTTCTTCCAGCTCTGCAGGACTGGCTACATCTATACAAACAATCCCAGTGACTTCATTTTTTCATTCTGTGAAATGTAAAGGTTGCATCATAGTACATAGCTATATCCCTCTGTACAATACAGGAATTCCTTACAATGAGGAAAGAATACACACAAGAGTGAGTTATATGTTCATATAATAGTCCAACTATGTGCAGGTCTTCATAAACTTAAATCTTACCTAAGATACTCAACATTTATAATTTTGCATCCAACACCACATAGGCTTTTTCAAATGTACACTGCTGTCTTCAAGTAAATCTTCCCTTAATTACTTTCGTAAGGACCTATACACCTTGGAACTAAACATAAAATATTCCTATATTACTATGTGTTAAGAGATTTATCATTGAAGTCCACAGCAACATTGTAATTCATTAAGGATTACAATTCACACACTGAAAAATACCAAAAGTCCACAAGGAATGTCTTTAAGGCTAACCCAACCCCTGAAACATACAGCAAAAACAATAAACACAAACTGTTACATAAAGCACTTTATTGCATTACATGGATGTTGAAATTTATCACAATTGTTTCCAGCATATTCAAAACCAAAATCCCAATATATCTTTGCCTTGATAAACTGGCACTAACGGTGATGCTTACTTCAGCCCTTAGATTCTCATCCACATAGAAATCTGATTATGCCACCCCATTTGGGTGTTATACTGAGTAAAAACCTCCAGAGCGTTTCAAGAAATGATCTTCCTAATGAACAAAAATCCTCTCCTTTAACATTTGTCACAGGAAAGGGCATGTCTCCAGGCCAGAATGGAGTGCAATGACAAAACTCTGTGGTGACACTGACTGAGGTTGCCCTAGAAGACGAATTAATATGGCTGCACTGTATGGTATGTGCTAATTCCAGGCTGGAATTTCACCATAATACTGAGACAACAGCAGTCCCACAGATACCTTCATCACACTCCACCACAGACGCAGACATGTCTCAAATAAACTAGTAACAAAAAACCAAGCAAACAAACAAAAGATAGCTTAATGTAAAAGTAACCACTATATAAAACTTTTTCAAGAACAAGTGTTCATTTTGATGCTTTAGGTTTGGAGCTAAAAAAAGAAGAAATGGATTTCATTCCACTCTTATCAACTTTGGCCAGAGCCTTCTGAGCTGCAGACATCTTGCTGTTTGTCTGTGAGTGAAATGACGAACAGAACAAGTTAAAAAGCATGCCCGTAGGAGGGGAGTATAAGGTACAAGCTCCTAAATATACAAGTCAAGTAAGAAGTTGAATTACATTTTTACTAAGATAGTGTTATGCAGGCTTTAAATTGTAGGGAGAAAAAAACCTTACAAAACAAATTTGAGATTATTCCATCAGAAAAATACTTGTCATAAATTGCTTAGCCTCAGACAAAGACAGAGAATCAATTACAAGGAAAAGGAGGTGAAACATCTTTCCTTTCTGCAGAATGAGATATCCCAACTCGAACGTTTACTTTTGGATAATCCCTGAGTGTACATTAAGAGGAATAATGCATGCAATATAACAGATGCATACTGTACCCTCCGACTCAATCTCATGATTATGCTGTCAGCAGGCTGAATTACAGCCTTGCATTACTGATGATGAATAATTCACACTGATTTATTATCAAATTCTTCACGTGCAGTGAAATAAAGAGAAAAGAAATGGAAGGACTGAGAATGAAGAAGGTAACCAACATTTGCAAAGCACTTTGAGGCCAGTGGGACAACTTCCCAGACTTCTACACCTAAAACAAATTTTATGAGGTATTTATTTATTTATTTTTAGACAGTGCTGACCTCATTTCTTTCTTACATTTTAAAAACATTATTTTTAAATCTCTAGGTGTTTTCCCTATTAAGAAAACTTTGCATTGTCCTTTCTTTATGATATTTCTCAGACTGCGGGACTTCATAATTACACTACTTGAGATCAGCTAGAAGGTTATGGATAAGATGGAGATAGGCAACTACAGTATGATCACGCTGCTGTACAAACATGAAGAGTGCTTTAAAAAAGGAAAAGAATACTATACCATATGGAACCCAAGAGCTAATCTTTCTTTCCCAGAATCTCTCATCAGTGTGCTTCATTATCGTATCTAACATTAAAAGGAATTATCTCCCCTCAGTCTACCTTTATGCTCAGTTCAAAACCAGTGGGTAGATAACAGAGAAAGGGGAAAACGTAGATTTTATACCAGTCGTCATCTCCACTTGGGGTCAACCTGCTCACTTCAAAACTAGTGTGTGCCCCAAATATGAAAAAATTTGAAGGGAGAAAGGGTTTTATCTGTCAATAGCTGTTTCCCTTTGCAGAAGGATGAAGAATAGTCAGCCTTAAGGCCTCAAGGTCACAAGACCACCACAGAGGGACTTCTTATCTCCCACTGGACCACAGAAGGATTCATCTTCTTTCAATACTACAAG